GGCAGGCTGAGGCTGAGGCTGTGACTGCGACTGCCGTTGCCGCTGCGACTGTCATCGCGAATGCGATTACGACTGCGAGAACAGCAGAATTCTACAACTGGATTTTCATCTGAATCTTAAGGGGAATGCTTTCAGATATGCTTCTACATATCGCTGTTAGGTTGCTTTGCCGGGATAATTAATGTATATGTCACTTTGTTCCCTTCAAACCACCCCAACCCGACCCGACGGCCCGAATTTCGGCTTGGGGGGGGGCGGTACGGGCTTCACGTGTGGCTTCTCGTTTTGTTCCCCGACCCCCGCGAAGGGTTGGGGTGGCTTGGTGCGCCGTCGGGTCGGCGGCCGCTCGCGGGCGCCTCGCCCGGCGCCCCTGGCGCGGCGGCCTTGGTCTGCCGGGGCGTCGACCGCGGTGCCCACCCGGCGGGCGCCTCGCGGGGCTCCCCCCCGCGCGCGGGGCGGGTCTGCCGGGGGTTTTCGCCGGGTGCCCCGTCAGTCGGGCCTGGCCCTCGACAGGAGGAATGGCACGCCGGTCGTGGAGAGCAGGTATTTTTTGGATGCCCAGGTCCCAATCTGCTGCAAGCGCCTTCTCCTGCTTCAAGAATCGGCACGTTTTTGCTGTGTTTTGTGATTATCTGGGGGGCCTGGGCCCAATCTACTATGTCCGCCTTCCCACTTCATGTTTCTACCTACTTCTTCCGACCGACGTGTATCACAAAATAGTAAAAGGTAATAGGGGGAGGTATTTGAGTACTTTTTGCTATGGCTGAATATTTATTGAATCGCTTCGCTCATTCCGCCGGCCCGTGATATGGCATCGCTGGTTTTTGTCTGTGTGTTCGTTGCCCATGTTGCGCTCTTGGGGGCGGGTGTCGTTCGGACGCGTTGCGTGGGGAGTTTTGATGGTGAAGCAGTTCCCTGGGGGTCGTTTCTCCATGGGGCGAAATAGAGTCGTCGTCAAGATGCTTCTTTGGGGGGCCTCTTGGGGTCTGTTGAGAGGCCGTTCGGGGGCGCCTGGGAGACATTTTTGAAGCCTTCTGGGGCTTCTTTTGGGCCTCCTGGGAGTCTCCTGGGGCCTCTTGGCGACATCTTGGGGCCTCTTGGAGGCCTCTTGGGGCCTCTTTGGGACCTCCTGGGCGCCTTCTGGGACGGAGGGCTCCATTTTTGAGTTCTCGGTATCCCTCCTGAGTCCCTCTTGGGCCCGTCTTGGGGCCTCTTGGTCCGTATTGGGCGGCACTTGGGCCGTCTTGAGGGCTCTCTTGGGTCGTTTCGGCGCCGTCTTGGGAGCTTCGTGGGCCGTCTTGGAGCGGTCTTGGGGGCCTCTTGGGCCGTCTTGGAGCGTCCGGAAGCCGAAAAAGCCAGAACACAAAAAAACATCGAAAAAACAATGACAATCAACGATTTTGGCCTCTTGGGGCTCTCTTCGGAGGCCTCTTGGAAGGCTCTTGGGGCGTCTTGGAGGCCTCTTGGGCTGTCTTGGGGGCCTTTTGGGCCGTCTTGGGGTCATCTTCGGCGTCTTCGAGCGCTCTTTGGGCGTCTCGGGGGCCTCTTGGTACTTTTTGCTACGGCTGAATATTTATTTGGGGGTATTTTTAATGTTTCCTCCAAAATCCGCCTGCAGGGGGACAGGCCCGACCTC